GGTGGGGGAGGTGGTGGAGGTGGTGGGTGGTGGTGGAGGTGATGGAGGTGGTGGTAGTGGAGATGGTGGAGGTGGAGATGGTGATGATGCCACAGTGACATCGGCAGCAGAAGTTATGGTGGTGGAGGTGTGGTGATGACTGTGGTGATGGTAACAGTGGAGATGGCAGGGGAGGGATTGAACCCAGAGACTTTGTGAATGCTAGATAAGCAGACTAAATTTGAATGTAATCCTATTAACAAGCCATATAAGTGTGCCACCATCATCTCCATCTATCAGACAACTGTACTAGAGGTGAGGCAACTCTATAATCACTGTGGCTAGGCATGGCCTGGCTGGGAAGACCAAGGAAAGGAGGCCATGGTGAACTCTGGAACAAGCAAATCCTCATCACCCCAGAGACCCTGGCAGAGATGCACATGCAATTTATCAACACATTTTTGCTTAGCCCACACAGGCTACCAAAAGTAGTACCATAACCCTCTCCCTCTTGGCCACATTAAACCCAGGTGTACAGGTGCCTGCAGCCCAAGGGTGCTGAGCTGGAGTCATTTGGTATAGAATGTCACTTCCTGCAGAGGCGCACTCATAGGTAATTCTCTGTGGCACAGAGAATCAAGTGGCTAAAACAAATATACCACCCAAAGACTCCACATATATACTCTGACTGTGTATTTGGCAAAGAAGCCCCAAGGAATAGCAGGTTCTTAAAATTTGAACAACTGCAAGCAACAGCCATAATCTATGACAAGGGCTTCCAGGATTAACTTAAGTTACGGTGTACATGTTCTTTCTGAGCACAAAGGTGCAAACAGACAGAACAACATTCCAAACCTTAAGTTATGTTTACGCCAAAAATAAACTGTAGGAAATTCAGAGCTATTCAAAGCTTCCAGGAACATTGTGGCTGCATTCCATAGTTAGCAGCTCTCAAAAAAAAAAATGATTAAAGCACATCTATTATGTAGTTGTAGGGCAGTAGCTCAGTGGTTGAATGCTTGCCTAGCAGTCATGACACCATAGGTACAATTGCCGATACTGCCTAAACCAAAGAAAACCATACTCACTGTGCCACTGTGTAACTATGAGGGGTCACAGGGTTGTGAAGCTTCGGAAACCAACTCTAGAAAGGGGATTTCTCAAAGCAAGTATCCAGAACTTGTAAGTAACCAAGCATTGTCTCCAAGATATTCGAGGTCTTCATAATGCAGATTGGTATGAAAAAAGGAGTAACTACAAAAGTCGCTGTCATTTTGTTTTTCATAGTCTATTAATATCAAGATGATTTAATATCTTATTGCTATTTCTACATTAGAGAATTACCATATTTTTGCTTCCTTTCTTCTTGTTACCTCCTCTAGTCTAGTTTGAAAATGAGTAAATAGATACATATACACATGTGTATACACACACACACACACACACACACACACACACACACACACACAAAATAAGCAAGACAAGGGTAAATAGATTTAATGTCACTGGAACTATTGGTGAACTCAGGGCAAAGCCACCAAGAGATAAGTAAAGGGTGACAATGTCTATGCATAACTCTACAAAGAAAAAATGTACTGCTCTGTTCATCACAGCTAAACATCATGTACAGTTCTTT